TGGATATATTGTCTTGTAATATATATCAATATATAGCATCCACCACACGTTTAAGTCTGTGTTCAGCACCATAATTTAGTTAGTCTAAAATCCCACCAACTCACAGTCCAAACTATTCCGCAAAAGTTAACCTGCTATTCAGCCACACATTTCAAACCAAAATGTAAAAGTGTCCATCAGACTAGACACAATTACACGGAAGACTTCCAATCGTACAGTTTTCCAGTAAAACCACTAAAACCATTCACAATGAATGAACCGTTCATCGCTGTATCAAAACTTAAAAAAAAAGGCTTGAGTGGTTGAAGGAAATGATGCTCAACCATTTGAGAGAACCACGGACTTGAGAGGATTGTCAAGCAAAATCCATTCAAGAATTTAGGTCAACTTTACAAGAAATAGCTGGGGTCAGAAACAGACATGTTTCTTCCACAAAGGAAATTATCTGTTACCACGTGGTTCAAAGCCCTCCTTTCAGATGGGACTATAGCATTGCATTTCATTCAGAAACTGGTGTTTTCAGGGAAGTTGGAGAAACACAGGTTGAAGTATCTTTGAGTTGTAATGTCATCAGCTGGTGTTGTTTTTTTTTTTATTAAAAAAAGCCCTCTTCATAGAGAATGCACCCATTTAAAAATCAGATTAGCTAAAAACTACTAATCCTCACTCAAATTGCCATCAAAATGCTCAAAACAACGAGAGCTACCTCCTCGTAATCAAAAGCTTGCATTGGAATTTGAATTCTCTGTTTTCAATTTTATGAATTCATAATGGAAAGTATTGCATTGTAAACTTAGTACTGCCTTCTGAAATGGTGGATGGGTTCGGCTGTGGCTTCAGCCCCCCGGACTAGTGAAACCTGGCGGGATTTGACTCGACAGCATTACCGGCGAGGCCGGATGCTATCCTCACTCGAGGTTGAGGTCCTATGGGCGAACATTTCTGTGCTTGGTGGGATTTATTAACATTGTGGGTCTTTTTAATTTGTAGGATTTGGATTGACTGTGTGTGTTCATGACACTCTTGCCACCCATGACAGAATGAATATGCATCGATAAAAAACTAAATGAATATATAGCCCTAAATAAACTAAACTCCTTACCTCTCTCTTTGACACTGTGATAGACACATATACGCAGTTTAGGTATTAAATACATTTTATTTAATGTTGAATCCTTATTATCTATATAAGCACTGTTTTTATGGAGGTTTAAAAGTATTGAAACTGATAGTTGCTATTTTTAGATCCCGCAGTGTAACATATTACCGTATTACCACGCAAGCCAAACAGAAACTTTGATTTTGGCTTGTAAAAAAAGCCGTTTTTAAAATATTTTAAAAATATATATATTTTTTGGGAGAAGAATGGGGAGGCATAGTGTCCTTGAAAAAGGAAAGCAGAGCGTCTCATTATCTTGCTCTCTCTGGGGAGTGTTTTGACTCCGTGATGGCCTTCGAGGCCAACTGTAGGAGATGAGGGAAAGCCAAATTGAGGAAAGTAGATTTTGGGTTAAAATCTGTGAATTTACACAGATTTTTACTGTCCATCACCAGACTCCATTTATCCAACATCCATTACGCAGCTGTCAGTCTTTCCCCAATGATATCCAGATTGCGGTCACAGACCACAGAGTGAGTTCCAACAGTCAACATTTCATTGCATGGTCACTTTGTCTTAAGTTTATTTTAATGATTTACATATCCAAAAGATTTTAGTCTTTAACATTTTCTTAAATTAAAAATAGCAAATAATTAGTTTTTTAATCAATTGACATTATATTATCTTCACATTTATTTTTAATCGATCTATTTATTTATCATCCACCCATTTTTGCCTAGTAAATTGTCAATTGTCATCAAAGATAATTGGCTCTGATAAAATTGCAAAAATAAAAACACAATCTAGTGGCAGTTGTGGAAAAAACACACCCAGCCCAACGCCTCACTGTATTTGTTTAACAATGTGGGAAATAATAAGGTACTTTTTAAGTTTATAAAACATATATAAAGGAAGTTACGTATAGTAACTAATAAAAAGCTGATCGCTCGGGTTCGTAAAGTATATGTTCACTATGACAATAACAATATTTATGATGGTTCTTGTGATGGTGATGATGATGATGATGGCCTGGCGTTACCTTTCCACACCGTCTCACCTGCATTCCAGGAACTTGAACGGCCACCGGCGACTGAGCCATTTCCACCGGTACACAGGCAGACTCCACAGCAAATAATATCCCAAACACAGCCTCCGAAGAATTGACTTCACTAATAATCCCGAAAATGCCAGAATATAATGAGTATTTACACTCCTGGCCAAACTCCGCGCGACGCCAAACTCCAGAGCTAGCTGCGCTCGCTCCAAGCTAGCTTCAAAGTCGGCACTCGGTGACCATGATTCCCTGGTAAAACCGAGCGCTGGTACGTTTTATTCTGACCCGGGGTGCCGTGGACACGATTTTAGAGTCTCTTTGAGAGAGTTCGGATAAAGTTTGAACTTTAGGTGGTTTTCCAGGACGCCATGGCTCGCACAGAGTCTCCAGAAAGTTGTTTTGTGCTTCGGCTCTGTCCGTTGGGTGGAGTCGCGCGCTCCGACCGCGAGCGAGCGAGCACACAGACCTTGCGTCACCGCTACGACGTCATCACACACAGACAGACACAACTTTCCACACTTACCTCACGCGAACATAACAAGAAGTGAATTAAAAATAAACCACCAGTTCACTTCCAAAACACGCCACAGGGGGCTGCAGAGCCATTATGGTTTGCTCTTCTGTTCACCGTTGAAGGTGCTGGAAAGCTGTAACCAAACCATTCACTTAAAACGGGGAATATGCTTAAAGAAGCCAGTAGCAACTTCTGTTGTCTGTTTCTTATTTTAATACATTTATACAACTCCCTCAGATACACAATTTTTAAGAGTTCTGTTTCTCAACTCAACTGTACACCCTTAAAAAAAGGTTCTTCACCTGTTCTTTACTGTTTTTTGCAGTTTAAAATCTGCTATATAGCACTTTTTTGCAATAAAGTAAATTTAAAGACCTTTAAACAAGTTTAAAGAGTCTTAAAACAAACTCCAAACTTTCTAAGTGACCCTGATGGCGATTTAGCCCTGAAAACCTGCACAAAAATGGACACAAACGAGTTTAAGTAGCTGATAAAGGTAACCACCCTCACTTCAACCTTTTTTGGCTTGTAATCAATGTTTGTGTATAAAATATTTCCCAATTTCTGGCTCCTGATAGACCCTTGCCTCTTTCATTCAATGATGCACTGACATTTCTGAAATTTGAGCGATGGGTAAGGCAAAAGAGTTATCAAAGGATCTACTGGAAAAGATAGTTCAACTGAAAAAACTGTACAGAAATGGACATAAAGAGATCTCCAAGGAACTGGGAATGACAATCAACAGTATTCAAACTCTTACAAAGGGGAAGGAAAGGGAGGGATTCTGTAGAAAAAACATTTCTGCTACAACTGCCAGAAACATTGTAAGGGGAGCAAAGAAAAACTCAGAAATAACTTCAGCTGAAATACAGGGCTCTGTGAAAAAAAAATATGGTGTGGCTGTTTAAAGGTGCACAATCAGGAGACTCTTGAAGATAAATGGGTTGCCTGGTCGAGTTGCCAGAAGAAGCCATTACTACACAAATACCACAAAGTAGCCGCTTACAATATGCCAAACAGCTCAGAGACAAGCGGCAAACTTCTGGAATAAAGTTATTTTGAGTGATTTTTAACTTTTCTCTAAACTTTTTGTACATGGGATATTATAGGACAGTCAAACACGACAAAGATGCAACACACAAGGCCAAGTCCAATTCTCATTGGTTTCACCAGAAGGTTCTAGAGTGGCCTGGAGTCGATTTCCTAGAAAAATCAGAGAAGATAAAGAACCTCACCGACAACTACCTCAAGAGACTTCAGGCTGTTATTGACGTTGAAGGTGGGAAACAAAAAGTTCGTAAACTTTTGATCAGGATGATTTAGAAGCTTTCTGTAGAGTAAGGAAAATGTAAACAAAGTTGTTTGACAATAAATGGCTTCACCCAACCACTAACTATAAGTTATCACTTATATTTATTGAACAATTGGCCAAGAATTAAAAATGTAAACTTATGAGCCCAACTGTATCTGAAAACCCAGGTTTGAGAAAATCTGCTTTTCATGTGAGACCTGGCGCTCAAGATCAAATGACAGGTCATCCACTCTCTGATCTTGTGTAAGCAAAGCAGGAGGGAAGATGCAAAAGAAGTAGTTTATAGTGGTAAACATATGTTTTCATTCATTGTTCAGTAGTTTTAACAATTCTCACTAGAATACATCTCCTCAATAAGGATTGGCTGTAGTGCCTTGTACAACAAACTTGCCAATGCGTGACAATGGCTCAGGGGATGCTCAAGCCCTTTGATCGCTACTCGGAACTTTAATTTTGTCTATATTGTACGGGAACACAGGACGCTCTGCGATGACAAATGGAAATCTGTTTTTAAAATCAGAAGAAAAATTACACTAAACGTTTTCACAGCCTTTGTCATGACGTTCAAAATTATTATCGTGCCTCCAAATTCCACTGATCATCTTTGAGATGGAGTCAACTTGTGGTGAACTCAATCGATTGCGGCAACACAACTGTATAGTAGATACGGTTTCTCAGTTGTCAGGAGTGTTATTAAAATGGCCATTCCAACTCACTGGCCACTTTATTAGGTACACCTTGGTAGGACCGCACTGGACACGTTGCATTCAGAACTGCCTTAATCCTCCTTGGCAGATTCAAGAAGATGCTGGAAATATTACTCAGGGTGTTTGGTTCATATTTATAACACATCGATAATTCGAGAGTTTGGAGGATTTGTGTTAAATTACCTCACGCACCTCTCTTCAGAATGCTTACCTCATCAACTTTTATACACTGATTTTAAATGGTTTCAAACCAGTTTGTAATCCATCATTCTGGTTTAAGCCACTTTGATCAGTTTCAAACTTCCTAACAGTCTGCTTTCCTGTGGCTCAGTTGGTAGAGTATTGTGTTAATACAAAGGTCGTGGGTTCAAATCCCTGGGAAAGCAGGAACAGACAAAAAAAAATTATAAGTCACTTTGGATAAAAGTGTCTGCTAAATGCGTACTTGTGAATGTTCAAGCTTTTAAAAACGGTTACATGCTCTGTGATACACAATTTGTCCAAAGGTGAAAATTATTTATGACTAATGTTCTCTCATTCAGAAATGCCACTGTAAGTACCCAAATACTATATAAGATGCCTTTCGTGTGTAATACAAATGTAGAAACGATATTAAATAGCAGATACAAGACACCGTTTTAATGAGCTACTTATTTAATGCAATTCACACAAACAAGCGAAATCAGGAATATTTACAGCAGTTTTCAGAATTAAAACATATTGGTCCTTAACTAGATGAAAACACTCAGACCAGCTGAGGAATTCAGCAATGCTTTGTCTGCCAATTTATTAAGTTTCAACGTATGGAACATCTTCTGATCAGAGAAAATACCTCAATGAGAAGTTGTTTGAACTGTGAAAACACGCACACATGCACGGCACATATATAAAAACGTAAAAGTGGAAAAAAGAAAAACAATAAATTACTTTAATAGAGAACATTGGAACAAATGGGGTCATGTTGATTTGTAAATTCAAAACAATTTTCAAAGAGCAGCCAAAAGAATTACCAGTCTATAAATTAATAAATATGGAAAGTGTTTTTAAAATAATTATTTCCATTTCTTTGTGAAAAGAATACAGAGATGTGATGCTCTTCAAAGAGCTGAACATTAAAACCCAATGGAGAAAGAATTGAAAATCCACTTTATAATTCAATTTAAAATGTTAAATCATCAGAAAATGGACTCAAACCATGCTTAACACATTTTTTACACATTGGAAAACATTGAAATTATAACTATTGAAAAAAAAAAAAAGATAAATGCTTCATGTCATGAATCTGGAACTTTGATTCTCAGAATACCAAAGACCTGATTATTAATAATACTGTACGAGTATTTTATGAGTTCCAAAACACAACAACTGGGTAGAAATATGTCTACGGTCTTTAAATTCTTTGTTTTATTCTGAAAACAACAGTTAATGAAAAAAGATGCTGTATCAGCCAAAAGCAGTTTCTCCATCAAACATTCTTCAGAACCGCGATGGTTTCCAAAGGCAGAGTAAATATTTTTATAATATTAATTGGATAAAAAAAATGCAGAAATATATTACAGCAGCTATAAAACAAAACTGTTCCTTACAACTCTCAATTCCCCCTCCTGAAAGTGACAGAACTTGAATTTTTTCCTCAAGATCTAGAGAGGAGAACCGTTTCGGACTCTACATCTTGGAACCGTTAAAGGAAACATTCCTTGTTTACATAAAAATCCCTCATCATTTACCCTCCATGCCCTAGCTGTGTTATTTCAGAGTTGCTGCGTTTCATTCGAGGACAACGAGAATCCCATTAAATCCCAGGACAATTTCGATGCCCATGGAGACAAACCTCAAGTACCCTCTCAAAACCATTAGGAGGTATAAACATACTCCAAGAGCTGAGGCACACACTCCGGGATTACAGCAGATTGTTTTGGGCAGGTTAGCATGAAAACAAGCTGATTTTCACGAGTTCAGGGGGAGTAGCCACCTAAAACTCCCTCCATTTCTTTCCATCCAGCTCATGTAGAGCTCTGTGATGAAGACAAAGGCAGCTTTTGATTTACTGATGAGGATTCGAAGCTCTTCTTTTGTGATGAAAAACAATGTAAGAAACTCAAGAAAGGTTAAAACATTTCCAGTTGCACCATTGGAGTTCAAAACGCCAGCAACAGGGGGCTGTTCTGAGGATCAGGGGAACAATTCTTGCTTGGTTCCCCATGCAAGTGCTACGATGGTGTTGAGGGGAGTTGTTCTGGGGGGGTGGGGGGTGGGGGGGGTTAATCAGGCATGTCGATGCAGAGTTTTGGCGGGGGTACAAAGTACTTGCCCGGGCTCTGAGTGATCACAACACCGGTCTTCTTTCTGAACATTGGAGGGATTTTTGGCACCTCGTGGATAGGCACATCCTCAGATGCCTCGAGGTCCTCATGGTGCAGGTCATAGGAGATGTTGCCATATTCTCTGAGGAAGGGAAAGAGCTCCAGGAGGAACTGGCAGAAGTCTTTGCGGATCCCAAACCACCCTGATGGAAGGAAATCAAAGACAGTTATCTACATGTAAACAACGTAGAAACACATCGCTTAAAGAATTAACTGCTTAGGTGAGGTTTATCGTCAGTAAAATGAAAGCAGCAGCTTGTATTACATGATACTTGCAGCTGTTTTATAATCCACATTTTTTACCACTTCTTTCCATGAGTTTACCTTTTCAAATAGCACCAATATCCTTTACCTCAAGTGTCGTTATGAGGTCAGCGTGAATACAGTTCTAACATTGTAAAAACAAAATAATAATAACAAATATATGTGTTATTTGTAACGCCAGAAAACATCTGTGTAAATTAATTAAACTAGTTTTTATCATGAAGACTACATAATACTGTGGTACCCTGAGATACGAATGCTTCCAAAATTCGATATACGAACAACCACAAACAGTTCTGCTCTATTATCCGCTTATTAAGTCTGACGTCACGCTGCGCTTCCAGGTTTATATATTTTAACTGTACATGTGTAGATTTTTAATTACCAAAGAGTAGTTTTGGCAAGATAAATACCCATGTGTTGATTTATAACTACCAGCAGGTTGAATATTTAACTTTTTTTGTTTTTAGTTTCATGAGATGCCTGATTGATGACCACTACAATGACCCACCATTACAATTTTAACCAGCAGTGAATTCATTTTAACCAAACATGGTTTCATTTTATCCATAGCCATCATCTATCTGAAACAGTGAGTTTACTACCTGCAATTTTTCAGGCAATGTTAGGCGAGCAGATGTTAACCGGCAGCGAGGCAATTTTAATTTTAACAGATTTTAACCAATGTTGAGCAGTTTCAACTGACAGCCATCGAATGTTAACCGTCACAGAGTGGATTTAAATCGACGGTGTGCATCTTTTAACCATCAGTACATGTATTTCAACCAATAGCGAGGAGATGTTAACAGTCACAGAGCGGATTTCAACTGACGGTGACTGACTTTTAACCATCAGTTAGTGGATTTAGACCGATGGCAAGTGGATGTTAACCATCACAGAGCGGATTTCAACTGACGGTGACTGGCTTTTAACCATCAGTTAGTGGATTTAGACCGATGGCAAGTGGATATCGACATATCACACAGCCCTAAATTTAACCAACTGTGAGTGGATTTTAAATTACCAGCGAGTAATTTACCTCAGACTTAACTACTCAAGATATCAACTACCAGCAAGTTGACTTAACTACCTGAGAGTAGATCTCAAAATACCCATGCATTGATCTTAAACCACCTGCCTATTAATCTTAAACTACCCATGTGTTAATACATACAGTGGTTGCCTCCTTTCTGTCCAAACGTGGTCACCATCAGAGTCACCAGAGAAACCCAGAGAGGAACAAACACAGGGATGTAGTTGGATTTGTAGTGACCATCCAGCTTGTGAACAAGGAGAATCTAAAGTAACATAAAATTAGTCAACAAATGAGCCAACTGCTTCGCTACAAGAAAAAAAAAAAAAAGTCTACAATTTTTTATTGTAAAAATGTAAAAGTATTTACAATAGGAGTACTTTTTTTTCATCAAAATACAGTGTTGATGTATGGAATTAATTTTGTACAAATAAAACAAACATATTTTCAGCTAAAACAAACAAAAACAAAAATTAATAAAGAATAAACGTATTGTTTCAAGTGTATCCAGTATATTACGTATTCCAGCTTAAAGAATGAGATGTTTTGCTAGATAAGCTGCTTCTTCCAAATTAAATGCTAATAATATTAAGATTTTACATGTTAACAAGGATAGGACCTAAAAGCCAAGGTTAACTACTGGATCAAAATTACTCACGAAATATAAATATGCATTTATTCACTAATATGCAATCTTTTTTTTAAACAACATACATTCACAAACAGCAGTTTACATTTTCTGATGGTATCAATAACCAAAACCCGAAATAAAACCAAAAAAAATCACAAGAAACAAAGATATACATAAAAACAAAGACATTAACCCCTTGGCTCCCCAGACACTAATCATTCCGCATCGTGGTATAATCAGATTACAATATACTTCTTGGTGCAAATAAATGTTTGGGTATTTAGTCTGGTAACACCTGCAGTCCCTTGAAGTAAGAGATAGTTGGTTGCCATCTAGTAAAGAATTTTTTCAGTGGACCCCCCAAGAGTGTATTTAATTTTCTACAACTTGAGGTGAAGCATCAGGTCTGAAGCCACTGTGAGATGGAGGGGCATTGAACTTAGGATGGCCAATAGGGATGAAAAGGCGAGAATATCTTTTTGACCAGAGCTCAGGGACAAAGACTCATTAGGGATACCAAATATTGCTTTTAATGGACATGGTGTCAGCTGTTTGTCAAGTTTGGAAGATAGAGTGTGGAAACAAATATGCAATCTTTAAAAATCACTGGAAAAAAATCACGGAAATGTTGATTTTATAGCAATTTCTTGATTATTTATTTTCTGTATCAATTTATTTTTGTTAATTTTCACTGAAATTGCATTTGTTTTGTTAGCACAAAATCAATTCCATAATTATGTAGTACACCCGGAATTAAAGTGTACCATGGGGCAATGCATGAATTCAGAGTGAGGGTCAAGCACACAAAAGATAAACAGTCCCACATGGATAGACTTCACACAAATATCTTTGTCTTTAGGACAACGATTTCGGGAAATAAAGACAAATTTAGTTTCCATGTTGTCATTTCTACTTGTCCTTTAGTTTATTTCACCATAATAAAAGAACAAAGGCACCAAGCAACTTAATTTAAAAGTTTTACAATTAAGTCCAAGCCTGTGGTGCACAGACATATGCGCACAGTTGAGCAGATTCCGAGCCTTTACCCATCCTTCCCCCTCTCTCTACCCACTTCTCTTTCCGTAGTTTGACTGT